AGCGAGTCTTAAGGATCTCATCACTGTTATGTGAACTATTCCTATCAATTAGTCAACTGAGTGCAAAAACCCCCTTTTTCCCCCCAAGCTTCAATTATATGCCAGACACTGTGACATGCTGCAGAGTTGAATGAGACTTGCTGCCCTGGGTACACCTTCTGTTCCCTCCCCTCAGCTTTTGAGGCACTTAGAGTCTAGCAGTGGGAGTGGGAACTTGTTTTAGTTACCACCTTGAACAAAGGGTATGGGTACCTGTACACAGATCTGTTAGTTTTAATTAGTTTAAGGCAAATATCCTGAGAAGTGTTCAAAAGTTTCATTTTGCACTCTCTGTTCAGGGAAGCGTGTGTGTATGTGTTTACGTGCACACCAGGACTGGGGGTAGGGAAGGCTAAAATCAAAGTTGTATAAATCCTTCTGAGGCAAAGGGCCAGAGAGCCAACACCTGACATGCACAAACAGCGCCAGAGGTGGAATCCCGCGGATGCTGCTTTCCTGGTTTATTCACTCATACAGGAGAGCATTATCTCGGGCGGCTCCCTGAGAAGGGGTGCATGGGAGGCACCAGTTTCTAAAAATGTCTTGATACTTTACACCTGGCTGAGAGTAAACAGGTGGGGGATCTTTTCCTTTCAAGATCTTGCCTGATTTCTAATCCTTCCGTGTGATCGGTTTTGGGGGAGCTTCTCTTGGTCCTACTGCTTTGAAATTTTAAGACGGTGTGTCTTGCCAGAGGCCCTATTTTAATCCATCATGTTGAGCAACTTTTGTGACCTTCTGCTCTGGAAACTCATGTGTTTACAGATTTCCTGTTCTTTCTGGAGTTCTGTTATTTGGATATTGAATGTCCTGGTGTGATCCTCATCTCTCCATTTTTTTTTATAAAACTTTTTTTGTTTTTTTTTTTTGGTTATTCTCTTAATTCCAGCTTCTAACCATTCTACTGAGTTTCTAATTTCCAAGAATATTTCCACATTTTTAAGTACAGTCGATTTACAATGTGCTAATTTCTGGTGTACAGCATAGTGATTCATTTGTATATATATATTCCTTTTCATATTCTTTTTCACTATAGGCTATTTATAAGGTATTGAATATATAGTCCCTGTGCTATACAGTAGGACCTATTGTTTACCTATTTTATATACAGTAGTTAGTAGCTGCAAATCCCAAACTTCCAATTTCTCTCTCCTCCTCCTTTCCCTCCTGGTAACCATAAGTTTGTCTTCTATATCTGAGTCTATTTCTGTTTTGTAATGAAGTTCATTTGTCTCCTTTTTTTAGATTCCACATATGAGCGATCTCATATGGTATTTGTCTTTCTCTTTCTGGCTTACTTCACTTAGTATGACAATCTCTAGGTCCATCCATGTTGCTGCAAACGGCATCATTTTATTTTTTACGGTTGAGTGTTCCCACGTTCTTCAGGTGTTCTTTTCCATAGCTTTCTACCCTTAGTCTGCACATGA